AGGAGAAGGAGTTGGGGGCAGGGGGCAAAAAAAAGAAGAAGAAAGTGCATTAGACACATATAAAAACATAAGAGTGTGAATTATAAAAAATATGAGAGAAAATAACTGTTTATTTTATAGAAAATGCTGTTTAACCAAAAGGTTGACGGTTTTGAACCCACCAGCTGCTCTGTACTAAATGGGTGTCAGTTCTCCGTTTGCATTTGCAGGCTACAAGCAAGGCCATCTAGCCTGGAAGTGGTGGAGGTGTTGGGGGGGAGGCTGGTAGAGAGGATGAAATAGCAGGGTGGGTGGGGAGTAGCATAGAAGTCTTTTCTCAGAGAGGGCAGAGTTAAAGGGAAATTACAAAAACAGCTGTCCAGGGTTGGCAGCTACGGTTAATAATGAGTCAGACTTTCCATTTCTTTGTTGAGCTATTATGCCCTACTTTTTCCTCTCAGTCACTCTAAATACAAACTCAAGAGGAACTGGCAAAGTAGGAATACTCTGCCTTGTTCTGTATTCCCCTCACTTTTTATTAGCAGAAGGCATCAGAGTTGACAGTACTTTCCTTCAATTGTAAAATGTTATCTGACAACCAAATACCGAAAGATATTATACATATATATATATACTTTTTTATACATGTCTAAAGGTGCATATGATATGATACAATATATACATTGAGTCCTTTTTCTCATTTGGGCCAACTAGATTGAACGGAAGCAAAATTTACAGAGTGAGGAAAAACTCTTCCCATGCTAGCTTTTAATTTAATTGGTAGGTTTTTATTGAACACTGAAAAACAACTTTATTGGTTAAAATGTGACTAATTTTGCCATTTAGTTTTGATCTTTAGTTTTGTGATCTTTATCACCTTCTTATGTGGCTCTATGTATTCATATACATTCTCCTAAAATTGAAAGCATAATATATTAAAAATGCTTCCAACTGAAAGAGAAGCATAACTAATTAAATATTTGCTTCCTAACTCATCTTTATTTTATCTTTTAAGTATCTAAATTTAAAATATTGATAAAATACGTTAATTTATGAAAATTACAATAAAATGTTTATAACATATCTTGGCTTAACAACAGTATCTTTTGTGTAGAAGTGACTATATTTATCTGTATTAATATCAGGGAGAAAGGTCCAAAATGCATCACTGTTAATGTGGAATGCAAGAAAATTAATATTATACCAATCTAAAAGCCCATCTTATGCTTCACACAGTCACAAAAAAGGAAAGAAATCACAGTACTTATCAGTATTTCATTACGTATGAAGTAAGTGCTCTTTATCCTATCAATGACTGCAATAAAACAAAACTAACACAATCCCATTAACTTCAGAAAAGTTGCTGATGGTTCCATTTCAGCAACTGGATGATTATATTTAAGTTGGTTTTTACTCGTTGTAAAATAGTGCTATCTGAACAGGTAGGAAAATTCACACAAAATACCACTTAGCAAGAGTCGCCTCCTAACTTGGCAGGAAGTTTGCCTTCTGCATGGTTGAGTAAAGACAGATGCAATACATTTAAGTTATCACTGGATCATCTGTTGATTTGTTTAATATGACTTTCATGAAAAACTCATTCGAGATCACCAGAGTTTAAAAATATACATTTGGGAGTTTCCTTTCCATGACTGCTTTGAACTCTACAGCAATCATAATAATCTGTTTTCTATTATATTTATGTAAGGTTCAAATATATTTATGAACACCATTGCTTTTTGATAAGTGGCTTTTGTACATTATCAAATCCTAATAAGCCACCCATGTTGAGTATTTATCACCTAACTTTTCCAAAAAGCTAGGATATCTGCAAAGGAAGGTATATTTAAAATGGTGTTTAACATCAAGATCCAGAAATTTACCTAGTCTAGTTTGCTATTTGATCTAGTAAACTTGTTGAAAGATATCAAGGTCTCTTTGTTTTATTTCATACTAGGTACACTTTTGCTTAGGTTAAAAAAATGAAATGCTGCTTCCCTCATAAAAGCTGCATGTACAACTTCAATAATCATTTCCGTCCTTTGTCTTTTATGCTTACTGCTATATCCTTGGGTAGCAAGAAACAAAAAAAGAAACATGTAGCACTTTTTAAGTCTTTTCCAGGAATTTAAAACCAAGTGAAATGAGTAAAATATTAGTATCACTCAGACATATTAGACATTTACTATACTAATAAATTTAAGAAATTTAGAATGTAAAAAGAGTTATCATGTTCAAACTTTAATTCAAGAACCAAAGTCAAGATGTTTTTCTGATACATACTTATCTAGTCATGCATCACATCATTCTGCAATAAATATTTACTGGGTGCTTATTGGAGCCCTGGTGGTACAGTGGTTAAGAGCTCAGCTGCTAACCAAAAGGTTGGCAGTTCAAATCCACCAGCTGCTCCTTGGAAGCCCCATGGGGCAGTTCTACTCTGTCCTATCTGGTTGCTATGAGTCAGAATTGACTCGATAGCAACAGGTTTGGTTTTGCTTTGGGTTCTTATTACATGCCGTGCATGCCACCAAGAATACAGATCTTGTCCTCAAGGACTTTTGAATCTAGCGTAGTATACTGCTACCACTAAAAATCGATGGCTATATAGACAGCTCAATAATCTTCCATATTTTGGAGTTCCTGTCAAATCTAAGAGACTTGATGGGTAGCCCCAAGTTTAAAAGAGAAGCAAAGAGTGGATTGGAAAAAATGAAACTTGGATTCAATGTGAGAGTAGCATCCAAAGAAAAAGAGTGGGGTGAGTGCTAAATATTCAGCCTGATTCTTGCCTTACCACATCTTCTGACATAGAGATGGAAGAATTTATTCTCATAAGCAGTGAAAAGAGAAATTTTTCTCTCTGTCACCAGAAGGAGAGAACTGAGTTGATGTCACTGAGCCAGGAGCAAATTTTCTTTAAAAAAGAAATGCTTGGGTTTCTACTTGTTTGTTGTTTGTTTGGTTTTGGTTGTCTTTGAAAAGTAGAATCAATTAAATGCAATAACGAAAACAGTATTTAAAATATGCACAGGCTTTGAGTAACACTGTGCCTTTCCTCTACAATAAATACTGACTGATAAACCCAAAATTACCCTATACCATATAAGTGGTCAAAGAATAAAACCAAACAGGGCTTAAATAATAATATTCTATTGGAACTACACCATGTGGCAAATTTCATTCTCACATTGATTTTTGACAGCTGAGTTATTCTTGGAGAGAAAAGGTCTGACACTGCATGTGTCTGAAATCGACAAACTATTCCTTTACCTATAGTACGTAACCACAGAAAAAACACATCATTCCAGTTGGACAAATAGGCACTACCTCAAAATAGTAAGGAAACACTTTCTACATATCAGGCCAATGTGCATTGCCAAGAATATCACCACTTTGTAAAAGCAGCATATCTCTCTGAAAATGGGAAGCAGAAAAAAAAATCTTCACATAGTATAATTAGAATATTTAAACTTTAAAAGTACAACTAATTATGTTTTACTATACATAACACTTCTAATAACTTCTTTAAAGAAACATAATGTGTACTGGGCCAGCCTACAATCCTTATATCCTGATAAATGACCTTTAAATACGGACAAAGACCAGGTAAAATAAGATCCCTTTAATGCCAACCTCAAAGGAGCCCTGGTGGCATAGTGGTTAAGCAATCGGCTGCTAACTGAAAGGTCAGCAGTTCGAACCCAACAGCAGCTCTGTGGGAGAAAGATGTGGCGCCTGCTTCCGTAAAGATTACAGCCTTGGAAACCCTATGGGGCAGATCTACTCTGTCCTATATGGTCGCTTTGAGCAAGAATCCACTGGATGGCAGTGGGTTTGGTCTGGGTTTGGTAATGTCAACCTCAAAGGTTATAATATAATCCCAACCATTACAATGCATTTTGGTAATCCAATGTGTTTAACATTCCCCAATTTATTTAAACCATTTTTTTTTTAACTGATTTCTTTTGTAGCCTATATCATGCACCCGAGGGAAAGGAATTTCATAGTTTTATAATTTCAGAATTTTACTACTCACTATGCAAAGTAATTCTTTACTGCTCAACAGTGACCCATCTGAACTTCAAGGGGTGACCCTTGAAAATGTGTTTGCCTTTTGAAATGTATTTGCTTTTGAAAATGTATTTGCTTTTCAAAAGTAGGTTGCATTTAGATTTATCACATCTTTCATGCAACACTGAGAACTAAAAATCAGCAAATACTCACATTTGCTAATAGCTCTAAATAGGTAAAATACCCTGCACACAGAGGATATACATTCAATATTTACTGAATAAATGATTATTGTTGAAAAGTCCTTACTTAGACAAACAAAAATTAGGATGTGGTCCAGAAGCTTAAGCTTTAAATATTAGCTTAGTATATTTTCAGCTCTAGCATAAATCGTATTTAATAGAAATGTTAATCATTAAATATATCAATTTTATAACAAGCACAGAAAAAAACTACAATCCACAAAAATAAGCACATGGCAAGAACTTAATGAACACTGACTGAATTGAACAGAAATGAATTAACCCTTTTTAATTAAAATTCAGGTTATGACTGACATTAGTGAATTGGGTTTCTTCCACCGAGCTGTTCTAAGGGATTTCAGCAGGGTTATTATGACAAAAGGAACATAAAACTAAAAAAGGTGGTAGGCTCCCATTTGGAAAGCTTTTAGTGCAGATAACCATCTTTATGTAAACTATTTTGTCCCTTTAGGCTTATTCTAGATCTAAATTTCTATAATTAGCTAATGCAGGATAATCTGAAGTACATAATATTTTGTGAGTGTTTTCCACAGTCACAGAACAAATTAATAATAAAATAATTTGCTGGCCACACTGAAAAGTATTTACTTTTAGTTGTTGTTATAATCTGTTCATTTTAATTATGAAATATTTCAAGCATACAAACACAGAAATATGTATAACAGACGCCCAAGGATCCACCACTCATATTTAGAAGACATAAACATTTTACCTCAGTAGTAATAGTAGAAATGCAAATTCAAAGAACAGAAAGAAAGTATTTGAAACCCACCAGACTGACAAAAGTTAAGAAGTCTGAAAATGGGATTATAAAACGTATGAGGGATTGGAAACAGGCATTCTCCTTCATCACTAGTGGGTTATATAACTAACATAGACAGCAGTTTGGTAGACACCTACTAAAGTTCTCATTTAGTGACCAAAAACTCTACTCCTATGCAAGTAATGTTTATAAGAAGTGGACCTATTAACTATGCTTGCAATTTCTAGCCTTTCATTTGAAGAGGAAGTCTTTTGTTATCTGCAGTTATCTATAAACTCATTGTATCAAGAGCATTAATTTTTTTATTTAAGACGTATTTTAAGAAAAAGTAGGGTTTGGGAATAAACGTACAAAATAGAATAGTTTCTAAATGCAGCCAAATTAATAGAAACAGATCTCATAAATAAAATAGATGGCATGAGCCTATGGAATGTGGAATATGCCAGACCAAAAAGATATGTCGTAGACCAAAATTAATTGGTTCTAAAAGACTTCTGTAAGTTGTACTTCTAAAGAAGGTGAATGGCAAAGTTCCAAAACTACTTCACAGTAAAAAAGAATTGCTTTAATTGCATAAATACATTAGGGAGGGTATGAACAGCCCCCATGCTTTCCACTATATGGTGTCTTATTTCACACTTTTTAAGGTTTACACAACAGTTAGGCAGTACCTGAATCACTTCCCATGGTGCCTGAATCACTGCCCATGTTGCTGTTATGTCCAAGACTTTCATCTAAGCAGCTGACACTTCCTTCTGCCAAACTTGTGTCTGATTCTGCAAAGGAAAACATTTTAAAATATTTTTAAAATATTTCTGAGAATAAACGTATTTTAACTGCACACCTCTACAGCACACAGTACATACAGTTCAATGCAAGTGGGGAAGGCACACCCAGACAATTATGAACAAAAGGTAAGAGTTTCCGGTAAGCTACAGTAAAAAAAAAAAATCCACTATGGATGGGCAGCTGCCAGGTAGTGAATCAAATACATATTATCTACTTAAAGTACGATACATCCAATAGGAGAACTACTTCAAATTTATAAGGATTTATGACTTCTGTCATCCCCGTGTGCAAATTTTGCCCAAAAAAATATGATTTAGGCTTGATAATATCTTTCACATAAAAAGTATCTGTCTTAGTCATCTAGTGCTACTGTAACAGAAATACTAGAAGTGGATGGCTTTAACAAAGAGAAGTTTACTTCCTCACAGTAAAGTAGGCTAGAAGTTCAAATTCAGGGTGTTAGCTCCACGGGAAGGCTTTCTCTCTCTGTCGACCTTCTCAGCAATCTTCCCCTTCTGGAGGAACTTCTCCGTGCAGGGACCCCGGGTCCAAAGGAAGCGCTCTGCTCCCGGCACTGCTTTCTTGGTGGTATGAGGTCCCCAACTCTCTGCTTGCTTCCCTTTCTTTTTATCTCTTGTAAGATAAAAGGTGGTGCAGGCCACACCCCACGGAAACTCCCTCTACCTTGCATCAGGGATGTGACCTTACTAAGGGTGTTACAATCCCACTCTAATCCTCTTTAACATAAAATTACAATCACAAAATGGAGGACAACCACACAATACTGAGAATCATGGCCTAATCAAGTTGACACATATTTTGGGGGGACACAATTCAATTCATGACACTCTACCCGTTGGCCCCCCAAAAAAACACATCCTTGCAATATGCAAAACATATTCACCCCATCAAAGCATAGCAAAAGCCTTAACTCCAAATCCAAACTCCAAAAATTCCTCTTCATCTGTGAAATCTAGAATACAAGTTACCTGCATCCAAAGGTACAATGGCAGAACAGGCACAAGCTAGACATTTCCATTACAAATGGGAGAAACTGGAGGAAAAGAAAGGATAACAGGCACCAAGCAAGTCAGCAGAACACATTACATTAGCCCTCAAGGCTTTGAAAATAATCCTCTGTTCTCTGAAACAATTTACACAATGGCCCTGCCCTCCAGACTGTAGGTATCCACCACCCTCTCTGGATTTTGAGCAGAAGCTGCTCAGGGGGGCTTCACCTCTGCCTTCTAGGCCCACTGGGACAGCAACTCTGCTCCCTTGGCTTTAGGCGCACCATTGTCCTACTCCATCGGAGTGACAACTCTACCCTTAGAAACACCAGAGGCCATGGCTCCACCCTCTGAAACCCCTGAGGTCATGGCTATACCTTTTGAGACTGAGGCAGCTTGGCTTCTTGCATTCCTTGTTTCTTCAGCTTCTGCTTCCTGGTTTCTTAGCCCCTTGGCTCCCCAGGCCTCACGCCCACATCTGCCCTGCTGGGGCAAGTGTTCCAAAGCTCTGCAGCTTTGTAAGTGCCCGGAGGCAGCCCACTCCACCAGGAAGCCTCCTGTGCACAGGCACTCAGGTCTCTTCCTCCGTGGGTGGCTCCAGTGCTACGTGGCACTGGTCTTCTGGCTGTGCCGCTGTTCTCTGCTTCTGACGCTTCTCTGCTGCTTCTGGTCCTCTGCCACTGCTGCTCCTCTATCCATTCAGTTGCAAAACTGCTTCCACAGTTAGGTATCTGTTAGAGTAGCACCCTACTCCCGGTACCAAATTCTGTCTTAGTCATTCAGTGCTGCTATAACAAAAATACCACAAGCGGATGGCTTTAACAAAGAGAAGCTTATTTCCTCACAGTAAAGTAGGCTAAAAGTCCAAATTCAGGGCATCAGCTCCAGGGGAAGGCTTTCTCTCTCTGTCGACCTTCTCAGCAATCTTCCCAGGTCAAGGAGCTTCTCCATGCAGGGAACCCTGGGTCCAAAGGAAGCGTTCTACTCCTGGCACTGCTTTCTTGGTGGTATGAGGTCCCCAACTCTCTGCTTGCTTCCCTTTATCTCTTGTAAGATAAAAGGTGGTGCAGGTCACACCCCACAGAAACTCCCTCTACATTGCATCAGGGATGTGACCTTACCAAGGGTGTTCCAATCCCACTCTAATCCTCTTTAACATAAAATTACAATCACAAAATGGAGGACAACCACGCAATACTAAGAATCATGGCCTAACCAAGTTGACACATATTTGGGGGGGACACAATTCAATCCATGACAGTATTATACAGAACTCATGGAGTCATTTTTATGTAAAATACAAAGTTAATAATGTGTGTTGATATACTCATAGGTTATGAAAATAGTAGTTCAGTGATAAAAAAATTTATAAACTCAGAAAGAATTTGCTTTTTGTGAGACAATCTCACTAAAGCCTGGCTTTCACAGTTGTACTGGAAGCTTCTGTGAGGTTGGAAATAATTTCTCTGTAATTAAACTGAACTTCTAGCAAAAGGTTATTATTAAGCCGAGTGGCAAGAACATAACCCCATTTATGGATCATGAGTCTGTGTTTTCAATACTTGGGGAAGATTTCTCTTCTTACAATTTATTTCCAAGGACTTGTGCAGCCTATTGTTAAACTGCTAAAAATGAAAGGTGGTTACAAATGTTGGCTTTGGACTAGAAGGACTTGAGAAGCTTGCTGTTGAATACTCTTAGCCTAAGTTCCCCTCTTTAAAATGGGGCTAATACCACTTACCTCACAGGATTTGATAACCGTTAAATAATATCAGATACAATAAGCTCTCAGCACCATAGCTTAATTGCTAGTGATTTAAAAAATGAAATAAAAAATCAAATAGTATGTCACTAGGACAGGAGTTTCATTTAATGATATTCTTCTTACAATTACTAATATTCCATAATATTTACACTGGTTATATAATTATCATTTAATCCTAAAGTGCCACAACACACTAAATAAATTATATTAAAGTAGCCTTTAGCTATTTAAAACTAGTCTGAATGTCCGACATTTAGGGCTGGAAATGGAAATGGCTGGAAAACATACACATGGTATGTTATCAATAAAATGTATCTGGAAAGAGATGATACACAACTCCTCAAAACAAGTATTTTCTTCATTTTTTAACCAGTTAATCTTTTTTAAAGTCAGGTTTACTGAGGTATAACTTACATACCTTACCAGTTGTCCATTTTAGGTGTATAGTTTGATGAGTTTGACGCATGCCTACAGTTTTGTAACCACCATCACAATCAAGATAAAGTATATTTCTATCACCCCAAGAAAGTTCCCTCATGCCCTTTTGTAGTCAATTCCCTCCTGCTATCCGCTGATCTGGTTTCTGTCCCTATAGTTTTGCTTTTTCCAGAATGTCATATAAATGGATAGAATGTCATATAAATGGATCCATGCAATATGCAGTCTTTGTGTCTGGCTTATTTAACCTAGCATAAGACCTCTGAGATTCATCCATGTTGTTGCACGTATAGTAATTTGTTCCTTTTTATTGCTGACTAGTGTAGAGTCAAGGAGCCCTGGTAGCGCAATGGTTAAAGCAACCAACTGCTAACTGAAAAGTCGGCAGTTCAACACCACCAGCGGCTCTGTGGGAGAAAAGATGTGACAGTCTGCTTCAGTAGAGATTTATAGCCTTGGAAAATCTATGGGACAGTTCTCTCTGTCCTATCGGGTCACTAGAATTGACTCAGAGGCAACGGGTTTGTTTAGTATTCCAAGGAGCCCTGATGGTGCAATGGTTAAGCACACAGCGCTAACAAAGGATCGGTATGAGTCAGAATCAACTTGACAGCAACAGGTTTTTTAGTATTCCACTAGGAGTCCCCAGGTGGCACAAATGGTTAAGCATTTGACTACGAACTGAAAGGTTGGTTGTTAAAACTCACCCAGAAGTGCCTTGGAAAAAAGACCTGGTCATCTGCTTCTGAAAGTTCACAGCCTTGAAAATCCTATGGAGTGCAGTTCTACTCTGCCCACGTGGGGTCACCATGAGCTGGAATCATTCAACAGCAACTGGCTTGGTTTTCAGTATTCCACTGAGTATCTTTTTGTGACATCTACCTTCCAATTTGGATAAGCCTATTTAGCTTGGGACGTACAGTGGAATTACATACAACAGCATACAAATATGTAAGATATCTCTCTTAAAAGTTAAAAGAAAGCTGATAAGACAATTTGTGGAAATATTCTCTACGGACATACATACTGTTTAAGTATATTAGCACAACATAAATATACTAATGTGAAAATACTGTGCTTATCAGTTGTCGTAGATTAGCTCTGAAACTCAGATTTGAGGAATCCCTTATGATCACACGGGAAAACCTGTATATCTCACTGAGCGATTTTAAATATGGCACTTTGCAATTCTCAGAGGTATGTCTTGTTAGAAGCTCAGAGGCGAGTGTGGGATAGTATTGTCAAGTAGAACAGCATTTTGGGCAGATGTACTGATGAAAAGAGAATATGATTTGTAAGGAAAAGGCAAGGTGTAAAACGAGATGGGGAAATGTCATTGCAAGGATACTTCTAGATCTAGAAATACAGAGTAAGATTTTTGAGGCAAAAAACAAGAATGAATGTGGACATGATCTTTATTTGCTGTTGTTTTAAATGTAGTAAAGGGAACTAAAGACAACACCAAAATCACTGAAAAATACTAATAAATAGTATCTAAAATCTAACATTGTATCGTTAAGTTTTCCACTAAGTGTAGTTAAGAATAGAAATTATATTTGATTTTCATTTCATTTTCTAATCACCAGCAGTTAAACCATAATCTTAAACTTATTCCATGTATATGTAAAGTTAAGATTTCCCCAGGCTTTATTCTAACATACATAAAGTATGGGGGAGCTATTTATGCAATATGCACAAATAATTTATGAATATTAAAAAGTTGCTACCAAAAATAGGGTATTATTAATCAATTTTCTGAATTTATTTTGATCTA